TGTGTGAGCTGAGCTCTTAAGAAAGACACATTCACTCACCAGACATTTCATTAGGTACATCTTGCTAGTACAGGATTAAACCCCCTTTTACCCTCAGAACTTCAGAAAGGGGTGATTTGAATGCAGTGAACTCATCGTTCAGCTTTTGATGAAAGAACACTTTTTACTCTTTGTTCTTCAGGGTGAAAATACTGAGGTTCTTTCCCGTAAATTTGAAAACTGAGAATGTGATGACTCCTAGAACCAAATAATGAACCAAGGCAGACATTAGACTTCAATAAAAACTACACAAAAAATAATGAATAATGAAGGTACAGCCTCCCGTGACATGGGCCAGCATGTAATGTATTTGTCTGTGTGTGTACAAAAGAGTTCAGGGTGGCAGCCATGAGCAGAGATGATCCTAGTGTTTTGGCTGGGATGTTTCTCTCCACATTGCAGTGTGTTTATTAAATCCACTTTGAATCACGCTCACTGGGTGTGTTGCAGGTTACTATTAAAACATTAGCAAAACCACATAATCTTCAGACAAATTTGAAGGCTTATCTCTCTGTTGAATCTTCTCATCTTGCCATTGTGCTGTGATCTTTATTGGGTTTTCCATTGACAGTTTTCTGTGTGCTGGCATTGGTGTTATGGTGCTAATGCTTCACCAGGCTGCGTCAACCTGCCAAATTCTTTCCTCACTGCACACCCCCATCTGCCTCACCTCATTTCTCTTTCTGTTAGCAGATTCCCAGTCCCTCTTTTTTCCCTCTCCTTCCCCTGTCCTTTCAGTTTTCCTGGGATTGTTGACAATCAGTTCATTTGGATTTCATCAGTTAATCTTTCACCTGTTTGAATGAACAGTAAACACCCTCTGCACACACCTGGGAATGCCCCTAAGATTTTTTCTATTTATTCTTTGTTACTTTTGATTCCAACCCAGCAGTTATGAGAAGTCATGTGACTACAGATTAGAAGTCGTCATTATTTTATACACTTTTATTTTAGTTAATCCCTGTTAGTGCTGCAGAGAGTCAAGGTTTATTTATTTATTTTATGACTTTATTGGTTTTATCACACTACTTTTGGAACCTTGCACCACATAGTCAAGTTGAGGAAAGTACCTGATCTACAGATCAGAGACTCTGGGTGATTTACTTGGAGATTTTCTGGGCTTGTTGTGTTGCTTTCACCATTGTGGTTTTCTGAATGTGAATCAAACTGGATGTTAAAATGTCTTATTTTTTATATGGTTATACAACAGCACTGATGAATTCACTCATAGCCATCATTTGGCACAAGCCGGATGTGAAGCAGCAAAAAAAATAAACTAAACAAACATTGTTCTGCTACATATCAAACTGATGAGGGTGTGTTAGGTAGTTTCCAGTATTCATCTGAACAACATTTGAAATCATGCTTTTAATAAGGAGATTCATTTCTACACCGAATAATGGGCATTGTGGTGAACTTCATTTACATGCTTAGCCTTTATTTGAACTTTTAGGTTTACAGATTAAACCCGACTCAATTTAGCATGATAGTTCCCCATCTTAAACGTCCTATTTTTGCACCCATGCTGACCTGTCTGTGATCCAGGCTCCTTTAGACAAGGATGCTTAGTGACAAGAGCTTCAGCTACCACTGATACATCCCGATCACTGGGGTATGCATTGAAACTATGCATTTTATCTGCAAGAATTTCAAGAATGTCATGCTTTTGTTCCCTAAACAACTTGAGAGCCTTTCCTTTTCTCTCATAAGCAACATCACCCTCACCAAGTACAAGTTCTATCTCATAGGAAAATGTAGGAATTGGGAAATCCTGAGGCCATCTTTCAACCCTGTCTGGAGTCATGGCATTGGGTAGACCAGATAGTGGTGATAGTTCCACTATCTGGTCTACCAACTTTTACAACAGCTTTCTGAAGAAGCTCCTCAATATCTAGAAGTGAACAAAGCTGCCTGTCAAAGTCTGGGTCTTCGTATGATAAGCTAAAGTCATAGTCAAGTTTTAACTTTTCTTTTATAATGTCTTTTAGCTCATCCACAGATTCTGGGTGTGAGAATAAAGCCAGTTTTCTCACGATTTCTTTGGAGACATGAACATGAAGTAATAGGAATTCAGAGAACATTCCCTATAGTTAGAAAAGAAAAGAGAAAAGTCGTTACTTTTTGGGGTTTTTTCACCCTGATCTTATTCCATAACAGGAGGACAGAAGCTGCAGAGAGGCGTGTAAGACTTCAACTCTGCTTCCTGGTCCCAACTCTGGATAGTGATATTTTGGGGAGGTTTAATAAATTAGGCCAGATTTCTAGAAATGAGAGCTGCTCCATCCAAAGTGGGATGGATGCTGTCTGTCCTAACAAGACCAGGTTTCCTCCAGAAAGTTTCCCAATTACCTATAAAGCCCACATCATTTTTTGGACACCACTCAGACAGCCAGCAATTTAAGGAGAACATGCAGCTAAACATATCACTGTTAGTATGTGTCAGGTTTCTCAGTAGGCAGGGCAGAGCAAAATGAAGAAATTGCTACGCCAAAGCAACCCACTCAGCTACCCAGTGACTGAAATAGCAATACACCATCCCAGCGAATACTGGATAATTACCCCAAATGTGTATTTGGTGGTACAACATTAAGATCATTCAATCCTGCATGGTACTGCACTCGACCGTGGCTGGAGTACTCAGTTTTATAGGATACATGCTTCTGTTTCCTCTGTCGGAAATATTGCAGCACTGTCAAAAGCAGCACTTGATCAAGACAAGGGGCTACAGAGACAAAGTGCAATCCAATTACATAAACAAACAGAGGGCGCCCTTACTCCTCGCAAATGGGCGATAGAAAACCGATCGGTGCTCATGCAATCCCAAAAATGCGCTGGCATGATGTCGTTGCAGCATGGGTGCAATCAACTATTTTTTGATGGCCCGTGATGGCGCCCCCCACCACCATGCCCATATCAAAAACCACTACTGTTCAGGTGAACTACTTTGGGATGAGATTGATCATAGAGTTAAGGGACGAGAGCCAACAAGTTCCAAGCATTTCTGGGAACTCCTTCAAGACTGTTGGAAAACTACCTTCTGAAGCTCAAAGGGCCGATACTTTGAAGAATCTAAAATATAAAACATATTTTGAGTTATTTCACATTTTTTGGTTACCACATAATTCCATATGTGTTCATCTACAATGTAAATACTCATGGAAATAAAGAAAAAACATGAACTAAGAAGGCGTGTCGAAACGTTTGGTAGCGTACACTGGATTTGATAAGGAGTGATTAAACAACTGAAACTATCTTCCCTACTTACCCATGTCTTTATACTTACCGTGTTGACTGCGAAACAATAAAAAGAAGACAGGAATGCTTTCACTTCGTTTTTTAAAAAGATGTTGATAATGGCTTGAGTATCATCATAACCGAAAAATCCCAACGATGACACGTTAGCGTTTTATTTCCCTGTTAAAACGTAACAACGAACTGACAACAGCCTGCCTCCAACCCCGAGTGGGAGGTATAAGTAGCGTAAACAAACCGTTACCTCGCGTAATCTTTGGACGGAGAAGCTGGAAGGCACATTCGCCTCCTGAACAAAATAATGGCAGGAGTCGCCGTTGTCACGCCTGCAGGTCAGGTGCATCTGATGCCGCTGCACACCGAAATGCTTAATATGGCTGTGAGTTCTTTCATAATGGAAATGCTGAAGACGATCGTCATCCTAGGTAAATAACCAAAAATGTGAAAATAAATACATTTTAAAAATGTAATTATCAGTGCTTAGTTAATCTATATGCAAACTTTATAAAGCATATTCTGTTTTTTTTTTGTTAACACACACACAGTTAGCCTAAATCTGTATAATACTGATAAAATCCCTAAACTCACCATTATTTTAAACAACAACCTCTAATGCCACTCACTCTAATGGAGGGAACATGTTATAATTATTTAGGACATATTTGTAGCTATGTTTAGTCTGAAGGCTGCAATGTAAAATCCTCTTTGTCCTGTCTTAAGGTGTTTTAGGATGCACTGAGGAAAATGTCAAGCTGCACGTTGATGGCAAGCCACTGGACCGGCCCACTGCATCACTGGCCGATTGTGGAATCAAAGTCGGCTCGACTGTGCAGGTGGTGAGGAAGGTTCACGGAGGGTGAAGGAGTCCATCATTAATTCATGTGACCACGTCAAATGAACAGGATGGACTGAATTATAAATACGCGAAGAAGAGAAAACGCATCATTTTGATTTAAGTCTGGCATCTCCGACTTTCCTTCTCTCATCATTTCTTCATTTTTACATGGAGCTCGCTCACTTGCACGCATAAATGAATAGTCCGGTTCTCAGCTCGGAATATATAATGATTAAGTTTTTATTTTATTTTATTTTATTTTATTTTATTTTATTTTATTTTATTTTATTTTATTTTATTTACGTTGGTGGGGCTTCTGTTCCAGGGATGACAAATTAGGATTATCTCCTCTCACTGACATCACACAGATCCGCAGTCTGAAACAGAGCCTTTTTAGATTTCTGATCTTTTAGCTCACATTAATCACTTAAACAATAAGTATAGAGAATATCACCTTTATATCCAATATAAATTTTAAACGTGTGTGTGTGTGTGTGTGTGTGTGTGTGTGTGTGTGTGTGTGTGTGTGTGTGTGTGTGTGTGTGTGTGTGTGTAACCTCATATTATTATAATTATGTAGCAGTACAAAGAGCAACATCCACAAGATAAAAGCTGAAAAAAGAAATTTGTTTTCAATTTCCTATTTTACACAACATTATCCTTTTATGATGTACATAAATAGAAAAAGGATTCCTGTAGCCTGTGTTCAGTAGTTTCTGGTTTTTATGTCAATGGCAACATTTGAAATAATTTTCAAATCATGTTTAATAAATTATTTCTAAACTGATCTGCCATGCATCGTGATGAGTATTATTTCTGTGTTTCAGATTAATTTGAACATTTTGGTTCACAAATGATCTTGGATTATAATTTTAAATCTAATTGTTTATTATTTTGTGACATGTTATGTTCCACTACAACGACACAGGAAATCTTTTTCAGATGTGAAATGCCTCAGGTGTAAACGTTGAAGAAATAGGATTATAAAGAATCAAATTTTACATGATCATTATACGATGAATAACGAGGCAGGAAGGGAGAAAAATCCACAGGTTTATATCAATAATAATAATAAAATGTTTTACAGTTACGCGCAAGTCTTTCATATTCAGTAAAATATTAAAAGGTGCAACATTGGCTACACGAACTGAATAATGACATAAACTGACCATGTAATGCTCAGCTTTTATGAATTATTTAACAGTAACTCATGTGATGTATTATAAATGTCTGAAGAGAAAGTGATAGTGAAAGTACTTTAAACACAGGATTTCCCCTGAGACTCTAAAAACCTCTGTCATGTTTATTTCCCCATCTACAAAACAAATGGAATTCCCCACATTTATTATTGCATGATTGTAATAAAATGACAATAACAACAACAATGATACCACTCTATCTCTAAGGCTGAGCCCTCACCCTTCAGACGAAACTATGTTCCTTGTATCCACAGTCTAACTCTCACAGTCAGTACCCACAGCTCATGACCATGGGTGAGGGGAAGAACATAGATTAACATGTAAATCACCAGCTTCACTCTTATACTCAGCTCACTTCACCACACTTAACCAGTAAAGCACTAAAGTGCCTCTCAGTCTCTCGCTCCACTCCCCCATCACTCATGAACAAGTCCTCGAGATACTTGAAGTTCTCCACTCGGGGCAGTAGCTCATCCCTGACCACATGTGCTGATGTGCACTCCACCCATTTCCAGCTGAGAACCATGGCCTCAGACTTGGAGGTGCTGATTCTCATCCCAGCTTCTTCCCACACAGCTTCATTACCTGGAAAATGACTGAGCTATGAAAAAGCTTGTTTTGAAAATTCCTTCTCCAAAAGAAGAAGCTGAAGCTTTTGTGGCCTTACAGTCCCTGATGTAAAGTGAAAATGTGTGAAAGGATCTTTAAAATATTGTTACTTCTTTAACTGATCAAACTCTGTGATTGGTGCATCGCTCACAACACAGTAAAGATGTTCATTACGTGCACAAAAAAAGAGGAAAAATGAATTTAGATGTTGCCCTGCAAGCAACAACATGCTAAACTGTAGAAGTCAAACTTCTATTGCTTTCATAGTGAAACCACATCATCTTGGGACAAATTAAAAATTTCAGTTTTCCCAGAATTAGCCACACTCTGTTCATTTGGATCCCAGCTGTGATCGTTCTCAGGTTTGAGCAGTAAACACAGAAACTGACCTCTGCACACACCAGGGAACATCCCCCTGTATGCACCATACAGTCAAAGTTGATATGACCAGTGGCGCTGTGTTCCTACCACTATGACCTGGAGTTATTACTTTATTTGGAGAGTTTGGAGGATTATTGTATTAATTCTGCCACTGCAGTGTTCTAAATGTGCATCAAACTGGGTGTTGAAATTACTTAATATGAATGTTTGTACAACAGGACTTATGAATCCACTCCTAGCCTTCATTTGGCACAAAAACCAGAATGTAAAGAAGCAAAAAACCAAACCAAACATTGTTCTGGTTACATAACAAACACTGATACAAACAGTTCTAGTTAATAGGTAGTTTCCAGTGGACATCTGAGACTAAAGGCCCAGGTGAGCAACCTGGTGATGGGGCAAAGAGGTAGACTTGTATTCAAGACAAAGACAATACCAAGACCAGAGGGTATCGAGACCAAGACAAGACCAAGACAAAGTTGAGATGAGACCGAGACCGAGACAAAAATGTCTTTAAACTGCAGCCAGATGCTGCTTCGTTTACAGGTGTCAGGCATATTTATGTGTTTTTGCGATGCACTCCTCTTCACCGCTGTCTACTGTCTCACTCACTTACTGAGAGGAAAGACGGATGCTCCACTTGACTGTCGCGTCTCTAACCCTCTCTGTTTTTCACATAATGATATCATCCCATATCCTCGCATGTGGTTGGCCACAATATGGAGGGATTGGAGCCACTGTGTGAGAGCTGAGCCACTGTGTGAGAGCTGAGCCACTGTGTGAGAGCTGAGCAGCCAAAGGAAATTAAGTGAGGAGCCGGCTCTCGCTCAATGGGAGTCGATTCTTCTGATTCACTACAAAGCACTCTCTAAGCACGGCTCTTAGAGCTGATGTTTTTGCGCACGACACATTATCGAACGTTACGTTGTGTGTCGTGGATACTGTTGACTCTAAATCTCCCGACCACTAAGACCGAGACAGCGAGACCAAGACAAGACCAAGACCATGTAAAAGTGGTCTCAAGACCAAGACCAGTCTTGGTCTTGAGACATCCAACTCTACAAAGAAGAACACCACCTACGTCAGGAAGAGGTCAAAGCAGGTGTGGCCAAGCAGGAAATGAGCAGAGCAGTGGGACTTTGGGACCAAGGAGAACAGATGTTTTGGCTAACCCGGTAAACTTCAATCGTCTTGAGAAAGAGACACCTTCCTGCCCCTTTGCTCTGGAAGCTGCTCCTTTGAATATCACATATCATAACTTGGACTGGGGGAAATAGAAGTTCTTCTACAAAATGTTTACCTCAGCGCAATCCATGTGAATAAGTTAACAATGCTTTTAAATAACTTAAACAGATTAAAATACTGATCCTCTGGAATCACACTGAAATTAAAAAAATAATTAACTTTCAAACTACTAAACTTTAATCAGATTAAGAGTTAAATATATTTATATTGTCTTTATCATTTTTTTGTACAAATGAAGAATAATGAAAACTGGTTTTCCTGCATTTCCCAACTCAGCAGCACAAAGTAACGAAGCTTTCTGATACTGATACTGTATAAGCAACCTAACAATAATGACAATATCTGCATTTTAACTCAGTTACTGTATTAATTTAACTGTTAAGTCAATATTTCATTTGGACCATTTTTATATAATCTATAATGAAGGATCACATTTTACATGACAGTGTTCACTTGTAGGACCTAAGGAATAAATAAAAATCCACAGGATTTTATTGAAGTTGGTTTTGCTGGCTTTTCTTCCCAAGAGATACGTTTTTATTTACATTGATACTGATTAAACATGACTAAATTTTACTAAAAGAAACGTTTTCTCTAAACAGTTTATCAATGTGTAGCTAGGAATACAATCAAAATGTGTGATTAGGAGACAACAACCTGTGTTACATATGTAACTAACCAGAGGACAAAATGTGCAGACAGAATGTTTAATCTTATTCTAAGTTTATAAATGAACAACATTTTTCAGATTTATCATTAGACTTCAGACATGACACAACTGTAAAGATCACATCTGGTAGTAAATTTCTCAGTAATAAAACACAACAATTTTTATTTATTATGTGATGTTATTCAAAGCAGAGAATTTAAAACACGGCATAGTGAATTCATTTAGAAAAGGCACTCTCAATAAATGAAAGAAAAACTTATCAGCCTTGTTTCTTTCCCATTATTTCTTCTTCCACACAGGTATAGAGGTCTGTCTGGGGGCAGCAATGCAACTGGTCAAACATTCGCCAGAGTTTTTCAGACACACAAAACAAAATGTCACATTACATCGAGGGCAATCAACTGATGGGCAAGCCATCGTGCTGTGCTCCAACAGCAAACCACAGGTAGGACAGGCACGGACAGAGGGACAAACAAGGACTCCAGAATCAAACTCATCCTCATCCTCGGACTCATACTCATCGTCATACCCATGAAATGTGATATCTGGGCATTTCTTTAGTGTTTCTAGTGATGGGTTGCAGCAGCCACGATTTCCACAGCGGTCCTTCCGAGGCCGTGCACCCTTCCACTCCCTCAAACACTGCCAGCAGAATTCAAACAGCCGTCCTTTTACTGCTGTGCACACTTTACAGAGGACATTCAAATCTGACCCATTCTCTCTCGTCACAGCGAATCCACATCCAGGACACTACATGGAGACAGAGGTGGGGCAACATTTTATAAATAGCAAAATGTCTATTAAGTCTAAATTCACAGTATATAATAACATGTTGATGAAACACTTACCAACTTAGTAGTAAGTGTCTGCCTGGCAGCGTTGAATTCCATGGTTTTTTGGAAGTACTCCATTTCTTCAGGGGTCAGAAGAGCCATTTTACAAACCTCAGCAAAAGTCCACTCAGCACTACAACCAGACCCACCACACACAAACCTGCTTCTACCCTTTATTAAAATATGGAGAGGTGAGAGAATGATTAGACTCACATGTCGGAAACAAAACATCAAACAAGTTGATGAGTTTTTTCAAGAAGTTACATTATTAAGAAATATTTCATCATACATCAGAAATGTCCATCTATATGTACAAATATTTGATGAAACACAGAGTTTTGTTTCTATATGTTGTCTGAAAGTCATTTATGCTCTTTACGTTAGAGAAACACTGAAATTATCGCAGCTGTAACAGAACAGGTGGAATTCAAAGCTACACTGAAGCCTCACTGATGTATTACAGGTTTCAGTGCAGAGGCAATTTAACTTAAATCATTTAAATGCTACAAGTTACAATAGAGAAGACGGAAGCTGAACATTTCTGACTGTTTTATTTATTTCCTTGCGAGCACAGCAGGTTTCTGCTGAGAGAAGTTCATGAATTTACAGCACTTCAACGCTCTGTGTGTTGATTTCAGTCAGCGTAGCTTCTTTCTGTCTCCGCTACATGGCAGTAAGCGTTACAGTCACACCAATAAAAAACAATGATGTATTGGCCACTGTTTTCATTATTCTTTATTTATTCACGTAGATGTAACATAGTCCTGTTAAGAATCAACGCAACTCTGCCAGATGCTGTTTTTATTTGTTTGCTTGTGTATTTTAACAAAGCCAACCTTCAGTGGCCTACCTGGTCCAACAACCTGCGACACCAGTTGGTGAGAGAGGTCGGGGTCACAGCGTGACCACAGGACATCTTAGCTCTGCGAGATATGAAGCCTTCATACAAAACTGAGAACAATCACACAGAAGTAAAAAAATCAATGTCACACACGAATAAATGCGCATGCATTCTTTTTTACTCTGGTTAGTGTGAAAACACATAAAACTATTTTTTTAAATTCTTTTCATTATTTATATTTTAGATTTGAATTGGTTCGATGTCACTTTGAAAAGTGCCCACATGATACTTACAGTCCAAATCATCCTCTCCATCTACAAATGTAAGTGTGGGGTCGTGAGGGTTGTAACACTTCTCCTGTTTTGTTGGCGCGCTTGAAGGCGTCACACTGAGAAACAACAACAAACAAATCAGAATGAACACTTCCAGTTGGACTTCAAAGAACAATACTTTTCCTAGAGGCAGATACTTCTTTTTAACATGACGTTTGTGATCAGCGGCTTTGTGTTTCCCAATTGCCAGTCTTGGCAGCCGGGGATCACTCCGCTCCTGGCCGACGCCCGGCACACAATGCACCCGACCCCTATGGCGCCTCCTGCAGGTGGTGGGCCTGCGGGAGGATGGGCCCATGTCCCCTTTTCGGGCTGTGCCTGGCCAGGCCCCATGGACTAAGGCCCGGCCACCAGACGCTCGCCCTCGGGCACCCTCCCCGGGCCTGGCTCCAGGGCGGGGCCCCGGTAACCCTATCCCGGGCAGGGTAAACTGTTCCCTTGATGTTTTGTTCATGAGGGTCTTCTAAATCACTCTTTGTCTGGTCCCTCACCCAGGACCAATTTGCCATGGGAGACCCTACCAGGGGGCAAAAGCTACATGTGTTTTGTGGACTTGGAGAAGGCATTCGACCGAGTCCCTCAGGGTGTCCTGTGGGAGGTGCTGCGGGAGTATGGGGTGTTTGGCCCATTGCTACGGGCCATTCGATCCCTATACAACCGTTGCAAGAGCTTGGTTCGCACTGCCGGCAATAAGTCGGACTCGTTACTGGTGGGTGATGGGCTCCGCCAGGGCTGCCCTTTGTCACCAGTTCTGTTCATAGTTTTTATGGACAGGATTTCTAGGCGCAGCCAAGTGGCGGAGGGCTTTCACTTCGGTGGCCTCAGAAGCTCATCTCTGCTTTTCGCGGATGATGTGGTTCTATTGGCTTCATCAGGTGAAGGCCTCCAACTTGCACTGGAACGGTTCGCAGCTGAGTGTGAAGCAGCGGGAATGAGGATCAGCACCTCCAAATCTGAGGCCATGGTTCTCAGCCGGAAAAGGGTGGAGTGCCGACTCCGGGTCGGGGATGAGTTCCTGCCCCAGGTGGAGGAATTCAAGTATCTCGGGGTCTTGTTCGCGAGTGATGGGAGAAGGGAGCTGGAGATCGACAGACGGATTTGTGCTGTGGCTGCAGTGATGCGGACGCTGCACCGGTCCATCATTGTGAAGAGGGAGCTGAGTGTAAAAGCGAAGCTCTCAATTTACCGGTCGATCTACGTCCGGATACAAGTGGCGGAAATGAGCTTCCTCCGAAGGGTGGCTGGCCTCTCCCTTAGAGATGGAGTGAGAAGTTCAACCATCCGGGAGGGGCTCAGAGTAGAGCCGCTGCTCCTCCACATCGAAAGGAGCCAGCTGAGGTGGTTCGGCCATCTGACAAGGATGCCTCCTGGGTGAGGTCTTCCGGGCATGTCCCACCGGGAGGAGGCCCCAGGGCAGCCTTACCTTACTCAGGTAATTGTTATTTTATATATTATGCTGTATGTTGTTCAATACATTTCTATGCAAAACAAGAGAAATTTCAATACACAGCAGTATATTCACAATTGAAACCAGATATTTACATACACTTTAGGGAAGTGTTTTTACTGTTAAACATCAATTTAGAGTAAACAGAATAAAGAGAGAGATGTCTATTTTTGTATCACTGTCATCAAATTTAGGAGTACATATACACTGAGATTATTTTTAATTAATAAGAAAACTCCAGACGATTTCATTCTGAGCTTAAGAAGCTTCTGATTTAGGAGTAAAGTCCACGTGAGTAAATTGGTGGCACACCTGTGGACGCATATAAGGCAAAACACAGAGCCCGTTTCTTTGACATGGGAAAATCAAGAGATAACAAGAGATAACAACCAAAACTGATTTGATTTTTTACAATTAAAAAAGTGTTTGTGTTTTTATCTGGAGAGTATGTAAAAATCTGGTTTATGATAAGTTGATGATAAGCCCAACAACGCTAAATAGTTAAATAAACTTTTCTGAATCCAAATAGTGTACTTTGGTAGAATTAAAAAAATAACTGTAGTACAGGTCTATAATGATTTTCAGTGCGACTATTATCTAGTTTTTATTCTAGTTCTTTCTTGGTTAAGTCCTAAGTAGTCCTGATTTTGAACTGTTGTAGTCCTGTTTTAATTCCAGATCAGTTCTGGGTCTGGTTGAATTGGGGTTTAGTCCTCGTGCCTTGATACAGCCCTGATTTTGTTCTGCCTTGCTGCCTAATTAAAAAAGTAGATATATGGTGAAAAGGTAGAAAAAGTAGATATATAAGTACACATATGTCATGCATGTGAGATATTCTTTTTCTTATATGAAGTTATTCTATTTCGAACAAAACTCAAAACACAGCCTAATAAATCTTCAACTTCACAGCATGTTTATCAGTAGTTTCTACCGCCCCCCTCCCCCATGCATACTACCCTTTAGGGCTAAGCCACGGGTGTATAAAGTGTCTGGCTCCGCCTCTGCTGTGACGCCAGACTGTGACACTGAACGATCACATCGCGCAGTTTACAACAATAACAAAAAAAGCCCGTGGAATCAGAGCAACAGGTGCACGCAGTGTTACCTGTGCTGCGGAGCCGGGTATGGGGCCATCGTCGCTCTGTACGCGGGAAACTCTGGATACAGGCGATAGACATGTGGCACGCTGATGAACGGAGCAACACCTAAATCTGGGTAAGGTGAAGGCACACCTGTGGTCCGGTTGAACATCTGGCTTGGATTTTACTGTTACTGCGTTCTGTCTCTGGTTACGGAAGAATATCCTGCGATGGACTGAGAGTTGCTTTTGTCTGCGCTGAATGTAGGCAGCATGCTCCTCCCCTCCTCTCTCTATTCGCGCGTGCGCGCCTATGTGTGTTTCAGGCTCTCACCTCTGAAAAGAGCGAAGAAAAAGTCCTTACCAAACTGGTAAATGCAAGGCAAAAAGTAAAAACAATTACCTAAAGTCTGGGATATAAAACTTTTTGAGACTTTCATTAAGATTTTAAATCCTCCAGCCAGCATTAAAAGGTGCGATGTGGTAGAACCTTTGTGAACGATTATATGAAAGTGAATTTAAAGACAGTAAATAGATGACACACTTTATTTAACTCTTGAAAAATCAAGATGGTGAATTCCCAGTCCTTCCCTTTCCCCCCTCCTTCCCCTGTCCTCTCAGTTTTCCTGGGAAAACTGATTTCACCAGTTATCCTTTCAACTGTTTGAAGAAACATTAAACACTAAACCTACCCTCTGCACACACCAGGGAATGCCCCTAAGATTTTTTGTGTTGATATTTTTTCCTTTCGATTTCAACCCAGCGGTTATGAGAAGTCACGTGACTACAGATTAGAATTCTTGATTATTTTATACACTTTTATTTCACATAATCCGTGTTAGTGCTACTGGGATTTGAGGTTTATTTATTTATTTTATAAATAAATCTGTTTGGGTTTGATTGCACTACTTTTGGGACCTTGCATCATGTAGCCAAAGTTGAGGAAAGTACCCGATCTACAGATCAGAGACTGGTTGGATAATCTGAGTTTGTGCATGGGCTTCATGTGTTGTTTTTGTCATTGCGGTGTTCTGAATATGCATCAAACTGGATGTTAAAATGTTTTAATTTTTATATGGTTATACAAAATGACTAATGAACACCAGATCAGATCAATACCATGTTTATATGTTTACAATGTTATTTCCTGGTTGAAAGGAAACAACGAATGGACAACCCCGCCCCTCAGGCGAAGTTAAACAAATTGGTAACACACCTTGCACAACTTGTTGCCTTCAGACTGATAACCTGAAAGGATCGCATCCTGACTTCCTAACAAAGTGATGTGTGCCGCCGCTGTATTGCCTGTGAGTCCGATGAGGGGGGTGAAACGGCGCATGAACCAGCTGCCAGACGTGACCCTGAGCGACGTCAAGAGGGTGCTGAAAATCTGCGCAAACGAAGGTAAAAATATTAATTAATTAATTAATTAACTTAAAAAATGAAATTATCGGTTCTCAGTGAGCTTACATTCAATGTTTTAAAACATGTTTTGCATTTGCGTTTTTCTCTAGCGCATGAAATTTACACATACAGTTACTTGGACCTGTATAATATCAATATAACTGCTAACTGCTGCCGTCCACCTTTACTTTCAACAATAACTTCTGCTACTGTTCACTCTAAAGCGTGGAAGATAATATAGTTTTTTATAATGTCATTGTAGCTATATTTAGTCTAAAGGCTGCAAAGTAAAATCCGCTCTGACCCGTCTTATGTGTGTTTAGGATACACAAAGAATGATCAAGGAAAGTCACATGACCACGCCTCTGCACCACTGTCCAAATGTGGAATCAAGCCCAGTTCAGCTGTGCAGACGGTGAGGAAGGTTCATGGCGGGTGAAGGAGTCTATCATTAATTTGAGCTTTCTTCACATGTCACGTCTCCTTTCACTCTCAACACTAATTTAATACTACGTGGAAAAATGATTAATTTTGTGTAAATTTTTATCTTACATTTTTATCGTAACTTTATATTTGGGTATAAAAACATGAACTGACTCTGAAGTTGCTCATTGCATTTCAAAAATTGTTGCACTTAGAAAACCGGTGACATGTTTCTAAAAAAAGAAAATTGTGTTTTTGTTCTGTTGTTATGATATGTAATCTAAGAAATGTGTTAAGCGCTGTTTAACAAAGGTACTAACTGTCACCTCTCATAACCTTAAGATGGAGAACCTGGAAGGATTAAGGCTTCATCTCCTAGGAATGATTGAAATCATCATTATCTGTCCTGATGGTCAGAGGCATTCGATTTGGCTGCACAAGATACAGCTGGAAGCAATGATTGTGGGCTGTTTTAAAGGGGAAGTGCTGAAAAAGCTCTTCATCCTTGGTAGGTTACTTAAAAACTGAAAACAAATACATTAAAAAAATGTATTTATCACTACTAAGTGATTCTACATTCAAAAACTTGGTTTTGTATGTACCTTATTTTTTATTTTTTTTATTTTTTATTTTATGTTATACGTATGGTCACTTAGACTAAAATTGCTTAGCTGCTAACTGCTACCAGTCACCTTTATTTTCAATCAAACTCTAATGCAGGGAAGATAATATGATTATTTATAACATATGTGCAGTTATGTTTAGTCTAAAGCTGCAACTGCAAAGTAAAACCCTCCCCATCTGTGTTAAGTTTTTCTAGATTACACTTTGGAAAATATCAAACTGCACTTTAATGGCAAGCCACTGGATGACAACTCTGCATCACTGGCCGATTGTGGAATCAAAGACGGCTCAGCTGTGCAGATGACAAGGAAAGTTGATGGAGGCTGAAGGAGTCAACAATAAATTCATCTGAATGCATCAAAGTTACAGGAAACACTGAACTATAAATACACATAAGTAACAAAATGCATGATTCTCATTGGTGTGACAGCTGTGGTTTTCATTCTCCTTTGCACTTTCTTTACATTTTACGGTTTGTGTCATATCTATGCTTGACACTAATTAAATATTAATTGGAATAATTAATGATGAATTATTGTGTACATTTTTCATCTAAATTTCTATTTTTTATAACAACAAGTTGGTGGACCTTCTGTGCTCACAGTCAGAGGGGGGTGTGTGTGTGTGTGTGTGTGTGTGTGTGTGTGTGTGTGTGTGTGTGTGTGTGTGACCTTAGATTATTACGTTTTTTGAAAGAAATCAAAATAAATCTAATGGTACTTAGAGCAAGATCCACAAAACAAATGCTGAAATAACAAGTGTATTTTCAGGTTCCCATTTTACACATTATCCTTTTCTGATGTAGATAAATAAAGCATATCAGCAAATGTTAATGTTCTGATCACTGATGCCTGAATGTTTGGTAGTTTCCACTTTTTCTGTCAGTGACAGCTTTTGAAATCATGTTTAATAAATTCTTTCTAAGCTGAGCTGAAAGGCATCATGATGATCATTGTTTATGTGTTTCAGTTATAATTAAACTTGTTGATGCACAAATGATTCTGGATTAAGTTTTTAAATTGATGTGTTTATTTTCTGCAGCATGTTTTAGCAACCAAGCAATTAAGGTAATCCTCAGAATATGTTAAACGACTAAAATGTAAATATAGAAAAAAAGAAATAGAAATCTCGCTTTCTCCTGGTTTGCATTTTTTAACGTTGATAACAGAGAAGACTGTCTCAGAGGAGTCAGACAGTCATAGAGAAAATTAAATATAAAGGCTTCCAGTTTTCAACTTGAATTTTGAGAAAAATTTGTACTAGATTTTCTCTTCCTGTAAATACTTCTATCAACATTGGCACATTTGGACCGCATTTTTTGATAAAGTATTATGAAGGATCACATTTTATAAGATCATTTATCTATATGAGCTCCAATCAATAAGCAGGCAGGAAGAAAATAGGCCAAAGGTTTACATCAAATGAGGTGTTGCTAACTTGTTCACATGTATGCATCAAATTTGGCGATAAATGCTGTGTTTTATATTTACACACATACTAGTCTTTAATAGTCAGCAAAAGAAGATGCAACATTGGTTGCACATAACTCGAATTGTAAGATGTGCTGGGCATGTAATTTAGGTTTATATTGTTGGATTGTCATTTGTGCTTAGAAACACATACGGTACTCATATATGCTTAGAGGTATATAATCAATTGTATGTTGATAGAAGGTCTGATCCTTAGTAGTCTGCAAGCACTGCATTCTGGCATGGACACACATTCTTAGGTCATGAGAGAGGTCGTACCTTCTCTTTCTGATTTATACTATGGGAGGACACCTACTCTGTATCTGTTTAAGTATATGAGCCTTTTGTTTAGGTGGTCCGCTGTGTTCCTAGCACCGGAACCCTAGCTTTGGGGAGTCATTCGCAGAGTCATATTTTGACACACGCACACGCGTACTTACAAATACACAGAGGCAGGTACTCTTTGTTCACATGTATGCTTGTGTAAGATGTCATATGTTAATGAACCTATGCATATTCATGTACCACAGTAAAGAGCAGTGCCCCGGGGGAGCTAAATGAGAGGGACTGGGGTTCAAGCGGCAGGAGCAGCGCTCGTCTCGTCCTCTCTCTCCTGCACGAGATCACACACAGAGCTCTGGTGCGTCTTGCTTTTGCCATTGTAGCAGAATTGTCTCTGATTGTTCCAGGGATGTTGTTGTGCCCTAGACGACCCTATCAGTAATGACGATACCATGTAACAATAAGTCATTTTACTTGTTCTAAATGTGTGAAGAGAAAATGAGAAAATGATAGCAAAACTGCTTAAAACTTCTGGCACTCTACAACCCCCTGCCATGCTTATTTAATAGCCTTCATTCCAGGCCTACAAAATGGTTTCCTATGTTTATTATTGCAAAATAAATAAAGAAACCAGTAAAGCACCAAAGTGCCTGTCAATCTCTCGTTCCACTCCCCCATCATTAATGAACAAGTCCTTGAGATACTTGAAATCTTCCACTCAGGGCAGCAGCTCAATCCAGACCAGTGGTGCTGATGTGCACTCCACCCATTTCCAGCTGAGAACTGTGGTCTCACACTCGGAGGTGCTGATTCTCAGTCCAGCTTCTTCATGCTCAGCTCAAATACCTAAAAGTAACTGAGATATGAACAAGCTTGTTTTGAAAATTGAAGCTTTTGAGACCTCACAGTCCATGAAGTGAAGTGAAAATGAGTGGAAGGATCTTAAAAATACTGCAAATTCTTTAAGTAATCAAACTGTGTAATCGGTTCATGACTCACATCGCAGTAAAGCCACGTTTGGCCGTTCATTACCTGCACAAACACTGAGAAGGAAAAAATGAATTTAGAAGATCTTGCCCTGCAACCAACAAACTGTAGAAATCAAACTTTTATTGATTTCATAGTGAAACAACATTATCTGTAGACAAATTTAAAGGTTCAGTTTTCCCAGAATTATCCACACTCTGTTCATTTGGATCCCAGCTGTTATCCTTCTCAGTTTTGAGCAGTAAACACAGATGCTGACATCTGCACACACCAGGGAACGTCCCCAAGATCGTTTTGTTTATTTTGTTTTTGCTACTTTCAGTTTCTCTCCAGCAGTTACAAGAAGTCATACGACTGCAGATCAGCACTTATAAATAAAAGTGTTAGTGCTGCTGAGAGTCCAGGTTTATTTATTTATGTAATGATTAATGGGGTTTATCCATTTATCTTTTGTAAACTTGCATGGTGTAGTCAAAGTTGATCTGACCAGTGGTGCTGTGTTTTTAGTGTTATGACCTGGATTTATTATTTTATTTGAAGCGTTTGGGGGATTGTTGTGATATTGTGCCACTGCAATGTTCTGAATGTGCATCATATTGGATCTTAAAATTATTTAATCTGAATGTTTGTACAACAGGACTTTTGAATCCACTCACAGCAACCATTTGGCACAACAACCAGGATGTAAAGAAACAAATAAACCAAATGAAACATTGTTCTGGTTACATAACAAACACTGGTGTGGGCAGTTTTTAGTTGTTGGGTGGTTTCCAGTGTTCGTCTTAATTGAATTATGTTGTACAACAAGATTTACTTCTATACTCAGCTATGAGGCATTATGATGAGCATTGTTTACTTGTTTTACTTTTAGTTGAACTTTTTGGTTTACACATCATCTTGGGTTCCATGTTTAAAACTTAATGTGTATTTTCTACAACTTTTGTTCTGCCGGAAACCATAGCAATGCAGGCACCATCTCAGCAGCTGCCCGCACACTACCTGTGCACCACGATCAGTTGCTGAAGGCAGTGGCTGAGAGCTCACCCTTATCTCACAGTCTCAGGCCTGCTTTTCTGAGGTGTGCATATATCATAAGCTGGATTTGGGGAAATAGAAGTTCTTCTTTAAAATGTTTACCTCGGTGCAATTAATGCTGTGATTTACATGTGAAGAAGTTAACAATGTTTCAAAATAATTTAAACAGAGTAAAAAATACCCCTGAATCACACTGAAACTAGAAATTTAAGTGGCTATTTTCCAAAGATCAAGATTAGCAAAACCTGGTGCAAAGAGGAACACAACCGATTTTAGGGAGAGGTTGAAGCAGACATGGACAAACACTAAATGAGTTGAGCAGTGTGGCTGTGAAAGCATGGACGTTTTGCCTTGCCTGATAAAGCTTTATGTCTGGGAAAAGGGCAAGACACCTTTCTGTTCCTTTGCTCTGGATGCAGTTTGGAATATCACATATCAGAACTTGGATTTGAGGAAATAGAAGATCTTCTGTGAAATGTTTTTAAATCATTTCAATAGAGTAAAACATATACTGATCCCCTGGAATTACACTGAAACTAGAAATATAAGTTAACTTTCAAACAGCTAAACTTTACTCAGATTAAGAGTTAAAAACGTATATGTTGTCTATTATCAGATTTTTGGGGTACAAATAAAAAAACAGAATAAAAACAGGTTTTCCTCCATTCCCCTACTCAAACAGCACAAAGTGATGACGCCTTCTCCTGCTGACACTGTATGAGTAACCTAACAATAATGAAAATATCAGCATTTTAACTCAGTTACTGTATTTTCATTTCATTTGTACCACTAAAAAAATAATGTACCATAAAGGATCACATTTTACATGACAGTGTTACACTTACAGGACCTAAGGAATAAAATGGCAGAAAGAAAGAAAAATACACAGGATTAAAAATGGTTTTGCAGTGTTTTCTTCCCAGAGATGCGTTTTTATTTACATTTCTATATTAACTTTTATTAAAAATAGCAAGGTTTTATTAAAAGAGAAGTTTGCTCGGAACAGTTTAGAGGAAACAAGAGCAGTCCTCACGTACTTAGGAAGTACTTAGGAATACAAACAAAAATGTGTGTTAAGGAGATGACACGGGTTATATATGTAACTAACCAGAGGACAGCATGCGCTTACACACAGTGTTTAAGTTTCATTCCCATTATTTCTTGTGCCAAACAGGTATAGAGGTCTGTCTGGGGGCAAGAATGCACACGGTTTTTGTACATTCAACAGGCTCCTTCAGACACACAAAGCAAAACCTCAAATTGCATCGAGGGCAAACAACAAATTTACAAAGTCTCTTGCTGTGCTCCAACAGTAACCCACAAGTGGGACAGGCACGGACCGAGGGACACACACAGACACCATGATATGAATTTAATGTCATATCTGGGCATTTTTCTAATGTGTCTAGTGACGGGTTGCAGCAGCCATTGTTTTCACAGCGGTCTTTTCGAAGCCGTGCACCCTTCCATTCCTTCAAACACTGCCAGCAGAATTCAAACGGCCGTCCTTTTACTGCTGTGCACACTTTACAGAGGACATTCAAATCTGATCCATTCTCTCTCGTCACAGAAGATCCACATCCAGGACACTACATCGAGACAGATGTGAGACATTTAATACCTGATGAAATGTCTAATTACAATTCTACATTTACAGTAAACATAATATTAAAATGAAACTCTTACCAACTTAGTAGCAATTGTCTGCCTGGCAACGTTGAATTCCATTGTTTTTTGAAAGTACGTCTTTTCTTGAGGGTCCAGAAGAGCCATTTTACAAACCTCTGCAAAAGTCCACTCAGCACCACAACCAGACCCACCACACACAAACCTGCTTTCACCCTTTATTAAATAAGGAGAGGTGAGAGAATGATTAGACTCACATGTTGGAAACAAAACACCAAACAATTTGATGAGTTGTTTGTTTCCCCCTGTAAGTTACATTAAAAATCATAAATAGTGAAATATTTCATAAAACATCAGAACTGTATTGCTATATGTGGTAATTATTTGATGAAACACACACATGATTATCACAGCTGTAACAGAAAAGCTGTAATTCAAAGCTTCACTGAAGCCTCGCAGAGGGCAGATCAGTCAGCCAGCATGCACAATCAACCATGTAGAAAAAGAAATGTGTGATCTATTAAAGGTTTAATTGCAGAGGCAATTTAACTTTAAAGGATTTAAATTCAACAACTTAAAACAGAGAAGACAGGAGCTGAAAAATTCTGTCCTTTTTATTTATTTCCATGATCAGGCAGCAGGATTCTGCTGAGATAATATAATTAATTTACAGTTAATTGCAATTTGCTCTGTGTGTTGATTTAGGTCAGCGTAGCTTCTTTCTCTCTTTCTCTTTACATGACAGTAAAAGTCACAATCCAATTCATTACAAAAAATAACGATGATATAATTGCCACTGTTTTCAAATTTATTTATTTATTTATTTATTCACATTCATGTAACATTGTCCTGTTAAAAATCAATGCAACCCTGCCAACCCGTGTTATTTATTTATATATGTCTGCTTGTTTATTTTAACAAAGCCAACCTTTAGTGGCCTACCTGATCCAACAATCTGCGACACCAGTTGGTGAGAGAGGTCGGGGTCACAGCGTGACCACAGGACATCTGAGCTCTGAGAGATTTGAAGCCTTCACACAAAACTGAGAACAATCACACAGAAGCAAAAAAAAAAAAAAATCAATATCACAGGAATAAATGCCGATGCGTTTTGTTTGACCGTGGTTCATGTGAATGCAGGTAAAATTATTTTATTTTATTACTATCATAGTTGAATCTGTTCGATGCCACTTTGAAAAGTGCCCACGTGATACTTACAGTCCAAATCATCCTCTCCATCGACAAATTTAAGTGTTTTGTCATGAGGGTCGTAACACTTTTCCTGTTTTGTTGGCACGCTTGGTGGCGCCACACTGCCAAACAACAACAAACAGATCAGAATGAACACTTAACGGTTTCACTTCGAAAAAGAAAATCCACCTGAAGATAAAATAGTGTGTTCGCGGCAGTGTTGCGCAAATTTCGGATACGTGCACACGTTTTGTGTTTCTTCTTAATATAAACTTTTTGATCCGCGGCTTCGTGTTTCAGTAGCTACCACTGTGATGTCAGACTGTGACACTGAATGATCACATCGCGCAATTTGCAACAATAGAAGTCCAAACATATGAATCGTTAGCAGTGAAATCAGACCACACATCAGTCAGTAAACCACGCAGAGTGTTACCTGTGAGCCGGGGCCATCGTCGCTCTGTCTGGATACAGCCGAGAGACATCTGTCGCGGTGACGAACACCGGAGCAACACCTGACACTGGGTAACGTTTGGCGTATAAGGTGTCGAGCGTCTGACCCATGGTCGCTCTGTTAAAAATAATAGCAAAAAAAAAAAAAAAAAATCCGTAAAAATTCAGGTTGGTTGTTGTTAGGTTCGTTCTTAGACCGCAGTGCAACATATCATGACTCAAAGCTACAGATCCTTGAATCTGTCACTTCCTAAATACATCTCTCCACCCCTTAGTTTCACACTCCTCCGTCTCTTCCTCTCTCTTGTTGCTGGTGCTGCCGTAGATGGTGCAGAAGCTGCAGCCCTGCAGTTAACATGTCGGATCATTTAACAAAGTTTGGTGCATCTATTTTTTTAAATATTTTATTTAGCAGTTTTAGTGCAGAATATAAATAAAGAACTAACTAAAAAATATATTCCACACAAAAAACAGACAAACATGTTGAGACATTAGAGACCTCAAAAAAGAAGAGAAGGTGCAGAAACCAAGGATATCCTTCCCAATAGTAGCCATAGTTAATGTGGGAACCCTCAGGTAAACAAATGAATTGGCAAATAACTTTACAGAAAAAGTTGTCATAAAATGTGTTGACATAAAATGTTCTTATAAATGCAGATCGATGTTACACTGGGCCAAAAAAGGCCCCCACATCGTCCCAAATTAGTTTTGAGTGCCAAGTTTATTTAGTCTGAGCTTTTCCAGTTGTAGAACAGACGGCATCTTGTTGAGCCAGTACTCCAAACCTGGTTGGGTTGACTTCCAAGTCAGTAGGATGAGTTTCTTTGCCACCGCCATCCCAGGGTCCGCTGCCATCTGGAGATAGAGGGGCAGCTGACGTGACTCTGAGGACCATCCAAATATTGCCAGGTACTGTGTATATATATATATATATATATATATATATATATATACACAGTACTTTTCCATATCAGGGAAAATCTGTGGGTTAAAAATACTGTTCTTGCTTTAACTGGTCTAATTGTGCAGCCAGTGCATGCCTCATATCACAGTAAAGCTGCTCATTATCTGCACAAATAAAGATATCAAATGTGAATTTAGAAGACTTTGGTCTTTGCAACAGCATACTCTGCTGCACAGAAGGTCATATCTCTTTGTTGAATCTTCTCATCTTGCCACTGTGCTGTGATTCTGGTTCTGTTATCTTCATCAAAAGATTTATTCTTGTTTGGGTTTTCCATTCACAGTCTCCTGTTTGCTGGCACGAGTGCTGTGGTGCTTTGCTCATGCTGCACCATGGTCATTCTGCCAAATTCCTTCCTCACTGCACACCTCCATCTGCATCACCCTCACTACTCTCTGTCAGCAGATTCCCAGTACCCTTGTCCCTCTCCTTCCCCTGTCCTTTCAGTTTTCTGGGATTGTTGCCAGTCGGTTCATTTGGATTTCACCTGCTATCCTTTCACCTGTTCGAATGACGAGTAAACACTGAAACTGCCTTCACACACACCAGGGAATGCCCCTAAGATTTTTATTTATTTATTCTTTATTTCTTTCGATTTCAACTCAGCAGTTATGAGAAGTCATGTGACTACAGATTAGAAGTTGTGATTATTTTATACACTTTCACAATCCCTGTTAGTGCTGCGGGGGGTCAATGTTTATTCATTTGTTTAATGACTTATGGGTTTTATTGCACTACTTTTGAAACCTTCCACCAAGTAGTTCAAGTTGAGGAAAGTACCTGATCTACCAATCAGAGACTCTGTGTGAATTATCTTACTTGGAGAGTTTGTGGGCTTCATGTGTTGCTTTTGCCAATGTGGTGTTCTGAATGTGCATTAAACTGGCTGTTAAAATGTTTTATTTTTTATATGTTTTTACAAAAAGACTGATGAATTCACTCATAGCCATCATTTGGCACAACAAACCAGATGTGAAGCAGCAAAAAACAAAAACAACAACAACAACAACAACAACAAAAGCAGACAAAATGGGGTGGTTGCAGGTCAGCTACTAACTGCAAGGTTGGTGGTTCAATCCTAGTCTGCTTGCCAAATATCCTTGGGCAAGATACCAACCCCATGTTGCTCTCCAATGCACTTTATTTCCAAGTGTGAATGTTAGATAGTAAGCACTTAACAGCTTGGAGAAAAGTGCTTGTGTGATTGGGTGAATGAAGTAGTTGTATAAAGTGGAAGTGCTCAGATAGAGTAGAAAAGTGCTATAGAAGAACCAGTTCATTACAAATGAGAGTGTGTTAGGTAGTTTTCATCAGAATGATAACATGTAAAATCTTGCTTAACAGGGAGATTTATTTCTACACTGAATTCCTTGGCATGGTGATGTGAACACTACTACCATAAAGCACCTTTAAGCTTGGGCTCTTCAAGGGCAAGCAGCAGCATTATTAATTACAGTACCATCTCCAAATTGAAGGCCAAGTATAGCAGGGGAATGTCATAGGGAAACTGTAGGATGATGCACTGGAACCAGAACATGGTGAAGCTTTAGGTTCTGCAGTGACTCCAGATTCTGCCTATAGCAGCTGGATTGTAGGGTCAAAGTGTGGAGCTGTTTGGGATTAGCTCAGAAGATTTGATACTCAACTCTGCTTCTCAACCTACAAATCCATTTTCCTTTATTTATTTCCTTTCTTAGAAGCATTGTTAAAACTATATATTAAACTGTTTGTATGTTTAACTTCAGGGATTCTTTTTTATTTTGAAATGGAAATAATTTATTTTAATGAACTGCATGTTTTACACATCAAGTTTTAATTAAACATACTAAAATCATTTAGTAAACAATCATCATTAAATTAAAAAAAAAACTGCACTGAACTGTGATATAATCGTCGAGTATCCAGTAGCCAGGCCCCTTGGGTCGATGCAGGCCATTTACCATTTACCAGGATAGGATTCACCCTGAATTCATTAAGGCACTGGATGTTGTGGGTCTGTGCCTCTGAAGTGGCAGACCATAGTGGTGGTTCCCCTTTCAGCTTCCCAAGTAAGGTCTAAGCCAGGGTGCTGGAGACGAGAGTCGATCTCTTATCTGAACCTCAGATTCAGAAGCAATGCTGTTTCTGTGTGGGTTGCAGAACATTGGTCCAGCTCTATGAGGATGTTTGGGAATTTGCCTGCGTGGTCTACATTACATTACCAGTCCCTTTACAACCATAACAAGAGCCTATTTCAGTAGTCAAATCTGTTCCTGTTTTGGGTTGGACTCTGCCACCATTGCCTTTGTCAATGATTATGTTCACAACTTTTCTGGAAATTCTAGGCACAGCTAGTTGGCAGAGGGTTTCTGCTATGGTGGAGTTACTTGGGATTTACACTTCAGTGAGAAGTCTGTGCAATAGGTACACTGTAACTGCAGACCCCTCTGAAACAATATAACATACCCTAGACCCAGGATATGCTTGACAGATTATGTCTGTCAGCTTGCTTGGGAACACCTTGGTGTCCTCCCAGAAGAGCTGGAGAAGGTAGCCAATGAGATCGAGGTTCTGGACATTATCACCTTGAATACTCCTCCCAGCAACACAACAAATAAGTGGCAGAAAAATGATAAAAGGATGATGTCTGTGATGACTGAATATCTCATCACGTGCAGTATAATCAAAACATTCAGAAGATCTGGAAAAATCTGCACATGCAAGGGAAAAGGCCGAAAAATCGAAATTGGATGCTTGTGGTCTATGGACCGTAAGACAGTACTGCGCTAAAAACAGACATGAATCCATCATAGAAATCACTGAGATACAGCATATAGAAATCAATCATAATAAATGTTATCTAACTTTCTCTCTCTCTCTCTCTCTCTCTCTCTCTCTGAGAACTAGATAGATAGATAACATCTGGCAGGATTTTAAGCATCAACCCAATCTGGCAACCCTTATTAGAACCCTCAAACTTTACCAAGTGGAAACAACAGCAACCATGCGAATGTACCCTGGATAAGGGTTTAAAATCTGTGATAAGGTTGAACGTAATTGGCTAACAGTAACTACTTTAGCTAGCTTACCGCACATGCGGTGTGGCAAGATATATGCACTTCTGACGTACGTATATATGCACAAAAATGTTTTAAATCATTCTCCATTCCATGAAATTATTACCTTTTACTTCTAGAACTGGTAACAGCAACACCGTCAGCTGACTCTTTCTAGAGTTTTTGTGTCTTACATTACAAAAATAAAAAACTACATATTCAGGTTTTTACTGCAGGTAAGAGAAGTTGGACAGAATATGTTAAAGTTGTAGCAGAATGAAGGAAAAGGTTAAGAAAAATAAAATGTCGCAACTTGAAAAGGAGCGTAGCACATTTTATAAAGCCAGTCCAATAAAGTACCCACCATGATGCATCCATCAACGCAATAACCGATACAAAAGTAAGTAATTGATTTATCTGCTTTAATTTTTACCGGGTTACATTACATCATTTATTGTGTGAGTCATGGTGTGATGTCAGAATCAAATAAGCGGACAACAGGCTCTTCTGCGGTGGTCTCATGTGATCAATTACCATCGTTTATGGAGCTCTATAGTAGGGGAGACCGGGGATAGTTGTAACATTTTTGACATTTCTGTCTGTAAATTGAAGCTCTTTTAAGGTAGTGGATTCAAAATGTAATGCAAAGTATTTACATGTCTCGGCTATTAAATAGTGCAGCTATTTTCTCTGCAGTACAATTACCCATTGCATGGTATGGTCTCAAACACGAAGAGTGAAATGTTACAATTAACCCCATAGTCTGGGTTAGTTGTAACATATCCTGGGGTAAAATGTAACACAATGAAATAAGGGTACTAACAAAACATTAACATGTAATCTTTGTTTATTCAACACATGAATGCACTTAGAGCCATTTATGTAGTTACGTGTGTGTGTGTGTGACAGAATGCAGAAATCTAGCTTTTGAACATATTCCAACCCCCCAAAAAAGACAAATTATGGAATTTTCTGCAACTGAATATTTCATTCATTTTGGTTGGTCTTTCTTGAGTTTGGCCTCATTGGCTCAGTGGGCATTATAACCTACAACTCTTGCACCAATTTTGAACATAACAATGAAGCTGAAAAAATGTAGTTGTTCACCAGCATCGCAATTCCATTACTTTTTATCCTGGGTTACCTTGGTGTGGTTTGCAAAGTGCTTCAGAAAGATGAGGAAATCTGTTTCTGGCACCCATCCTGATTTATTTCCACTACCAATACTTCCTACTGGTCCATCTCTGACACAGTGGTCTGCATAATGTGTGTGTGGGAACACAAACAGTGGAGGAATTGTGTTGCCAATGGCATTAACCGCATATACAAAAGCGACCCTAGTATCATTAATAAAATTGCTACCAGTCAGCTTTATTTATTATTACATTCTGATGAGGCTCACTCTAACATAGGGAACAGAATAAAATTATTTATGACATAGTAAAGTAAAATCCTCTCTGTGCTTTGTTAAGCTTTTGTAGGATACACAAAGGATAATATGAAGCTGCACGTTGATGGCACGCCACTGGACGACGACTCTGCACCAGTGACAAAATACAGAATCAAAACCGGCTCAGTTGTGCAGATGGTGATTAAGGTTCATGGAGGATGAAGGAGTCCATCATGAATTCATCTGATTATATCAAAGTTACAGGATACACCAAAGTATAAATACATGTAAAGAACAAAACTCTGAAGTATGGCATCTATGGCTTTCCTTCTCCTTTGTGCTTTCTTTGCATTTTATGCCTCCTACCATACCAGCACTAATTCAATATTGCATGGAAGGAATAATGATTAATTGGGGTGTACATTTTTAATTAACCAACTTGTTATTTTTATTAACAAGTTGGTGGGGATTTGTGCTCACAGTCAGAGGTGTGTGCGTGACATCACGCAGATCCACTGTCTGAAACTGAGGATACAAACAATAAGGAAGGAACCTTGTAAAATTATCATTACAGGAAGAACAGGAAAAAAATGTAACAGTACATAGAGCAACCTCCACAGAGTAAATGCTGAGAAAAAAAGTGATTTTCTATTTACTACTTCACGCATTATCCTTTTACAGTCTACATGAATAAATACATATCACCAAATGTCATTATTCTGCTCACATTCCTCTGATTTCTGTATGTCGAGTGGTTTAGTTTTTATGTCAATGACAACATTTGAAAACATTTTGAAATCATGTTTGACTAATTTAATCTAAACTGAGCTGAATAGCATTATGATGAGCATTGTGTGTTTCATATCTATTTAAACTTTTTTTATTCAAAAATGACCCTGGATCATGTTTTTCAATCTAATTGTTTATTTTCTGTGACATGTTTTATTCTATTAGCAACCACAAAAATGTATATTCATAAAATGTTAAATGACTGTTAAATATCGAAGAAACAAAAATAAATCTGGCTTTCTCATGGTTTGCTTTGACAAAAGAGAAGACTGTTTCAGAGGAGTCAGGGGGCATGGAGAAAATGAAGTCCAAAACCTTAGTTTTGGGGAAAAGAAACATTCTCTGGGGAAATTTCCAGCTTAACCTGATTATTGTACTAGTTTAGCTGTTCCTGTAAATACTTCTAAATCAACATTGCTGCATTTGGACCACATTTTTCAATAAAGTATTGCAAAAGATCACATTTAACGTTTTCACTTATCAATATGGTCTCTCAGCAATAACATTACAGGAAGGAAGGAAAACCCACAGGTAAAATAAGTAAAATATTAAAAGGTGCAACATTGGTTACATGTGGATAAACTGAATAATGACATATACTAACCATGTAATGCTGCTCAGCTTTCACACAATATTATTAAAAGTTAACTCATTTATTCTAAATGTCTAAAGAGAAAGTGATAGTGAAACTACTTTAAACACAGGATTTCCCCTGGGACTCTAAAAACCACTGTCATGTTTATTTGATAGCCTTTATTCCAGGCCTATAAAACGAGTGGAATTCCCAGCATTTATCATTTCATGATTCTAATAAAATTACAATAATATTTCTAAACAAAGAATACAACAACAACAACAATAATACCACTCTATCTCTAAGGCTGAGCCCTCACCCTTCAGGAGAAACTTCTGCTGCTTGTATCCACAGTCTAATTCTCACAGTCACTACCCACAGCTCGTGACCGTCACAGTGAGGGGAAGAACGTGTAAATTATCCGCTTCACTTTTACGCTTAGCTCTCTTCTCCACACCAAACAAGTAAAACACCAAACTGCCTGTTAATCTCTTGCTCCACTCCCCCATCACTCGTGAACAACTCCCCAGGAGACTTGAAGTCCTCGACTCCAGCAGCTCGTCCCTGACTAGTGGTGCTGATGGGAGCTCCACACATTTCCAGCTGCGAACCATTGCCTCAGACTTGGAGGTGCTGATTCTCATGCCAGCTTCTTCATTCTCAGCTTCATTACCTAAAAATAATGAGCTATGTAAAAGCTTGTTTTGAAAATTGTGACTTCAAAAAAAGAAGCTGAAGCTTTTGAGACCTCACACTCCCTGAAGAGAAGTGAAAATGTGTGGAAGGATCTTAAAAATACTGCAACTTCTTTAACTGCTCAAACTATGTAATCAGTGACTCACATCACAGTAAAGGTGTTCATTACCTGCACAAACATTGAGAAAATATGTAAATTTAGAAGATCTTAACCTGTAAACAACAACATACTAAGCCGTAGAGATCAAACTTTAATTGCTTTCATAGTGAAACCACATCATCTTTAGACAAATTTAAAGGTTCAGTTTTCCTGGAAATATCTGAACTCTGTTCATTTAGATCCCACCTGTTATCCTTCTCAGGTTTGAGCAGTAAACACAGACGCTGACCTCTGCACACACCAGGGAACGTCCCCAAGATTGTTTCGTTTATTTTTCTTTTGTCACTTTCACTTTCTCTCCAGCAGTTACCAGAAGTCATACGACTGCAGATCAGCACTTATATGGTTTTGCTATATGTAATAAAAGGGTTAGTGCTGCTGAGAGTCCAGCTTTATTTATTTTTTTATCACTCTTTTATGAACGTACACCAGGTAGTCAAAGCTGATCCGACTAGTGACGCTGTGTTTCTTGCATTATGACCTGGATTTATTATTTTATTTAGAGAGTTTGGGGGATTATTGTGTTCCTTTTGCCACTGCAATGTTCTGAATGTGCATCACACTGGATGATGAAATTACTTAATATGAATGTTTGTACAACAGGACTTATGAATCCACTCAGGGCCACCATTTGGCACAACAACCAGGATGTAAAGAAGCAAAAACACCCAAACCAAACATTGTTCTGGTTACATATCAAACACATATACAGACAGTTCTAGTTAATAGGTAGTTTCCAGTGTTCAGCTGAATGACGGTGTTTGAAATCATGTTGAAAATCAGATTTACTTCTACACTCAGAAGCATTATGATGAGCATCGTTTACATGTTTCATCTTTAGTTAAACTTTTTCGTTTACACGTCGACTTCAGTTCCATATTTAAATCTTAGTGTGTATTTTCTGTAATACATTTTCTGCAACCAAACCAATGCAGGTAATGTTCTTCATAATGTATCACTTAACCAGCACTAAGGGGGAGAGCAGAACATTCATGCTGGGAATACAAGCACATAAGTTTACAGTGGTTAACTCATAAGCTTATCATGGAATCATAGGCCTTCATCATGGTCATCTGAGACAAAAGGCCCGTGTCGGCAACCTGGTGACAGGCCTAGAGGCCTGGGTCAAAAAGTAACACCACCTACATCAGGAAGAGGTTGAAGGAGGTGTGGACAAACGGGGAATGAGCAGAGCAGTAGGACTGTGGGAGTATGGAAAAATAGATGTTTTGGCTAACCTGGTAAACCTTTATCATCTTGAGAAAGAGTGAAACTCCTTTCTTCCCCTTTAGACGAGGTTCCTTGGATCATCTTCTCAGCAGCTGCCCACCGACTCTGCATGATGGCTGCTATCTGTGGCACCATGACCAGGTGCTGAATGCAGTGGCAAAGAGCTTAGCCTCATCTCACAGTCTCAGACTGGCTTTTCTGACACAAGTATTATATATCAGATATCGTAAGTTGGATTTGGGGAAACAGAAATTACTAAAATATTTGCCTCAGCGCAATTCATGCTGTGATTTACATGCAAATAAGTTAACTATGATTTTAAACGATTTAAACAGAGTGAAAAATATACTGATATCCTGGAATCACACCAACAACTAGAAATTAAAGTTAACCTCTAAACAGCTAAACTTTAATCAGATTAAGAGTTAAATATTTTTATATTGTCCGTTATAAAATGTTTCACTAGAAATGAAAAACAAAGAATGAAAACAGGTTTACCTGCACTCCCCAACCCAACACCACAAAGTGGTGAAGCCTTCTCCTACTGAGACTGTATGAGTAACCTAACAATAATGAAAATATCTGTATTTTAACTCAGTTACTGTATTAATTTAGCTGTCCAGTTCTACCATTTTTAAATAATGTATAATGAAATATCACATTTTACATGACAGCGTTCACTTACAGGATCTAAGGAATAAATAAAAATCTACAGGATTTCATTGAACAGTGTTTTGCTGGCTTTCCTTCCCCACAGATACATTTTTATTTACATTTACACATTGACGTTGATTAAACATAACTACTTTGAAAAAAACATATTCTCTAAACAACTTATTATCATGTAGCTAGGACTACAAACAAAATGTGTGGAAATGAGACGTGACAGGTTAAATCTGTAAGTAACCAGAGGGCAGCATGTGCGCACAGAATGTTTAACCTTATTCTGAATTTATAAATGAACGACATTTTTCAGATTTATCATTACAGTTCAGCATAACACATCTGAAAAGATCATATTTGGTAGTAAATTTCTCACTAATATAACACAATAATTTTTGTTTATAGCCTGGTGTTTTTCAAAGCAGAGAATTTAAAACACAACATAGTGAATGTATTTAGAAAAGACACTCTCGGTAAAAATAAAGTGAAACTTAACAGCAGTGTTTCTTTCCCATTATTTCTTTTGCCACACAGGTATAGAGGTCTGTCTGGGGGCGGGAATGCACCGGGTCATCTGACATTTGCCAGAGTGCTTCAGACACACAAAACAAAACGTCCCACTACATCGAGGGCAAACAACTGATGGGCAATACTTCTTGCTGTGCTCCAACAGCAAACCACAGGTGGGACAGGCACGGACAGAGGGACACACACGGACTCCAGAATCACACTCATCGTCATCGCCATCCTCATCGTCATCCTCATCGTCATCGCCATTGTCATCCTCATCGTCATCCTCATCGCCATCCTCATCGTCATCCTCATCGCCATCCTCATCCTCATCGCCATCCTCATCCTCATCCTCATCCTCATCGCCATCCTCATCCTCATCGTCATCCTCATACTCATACTGACACAATGTGATATCTGGGCATTTTTCTAATGTTTCTAGTGATGGGTTGCAGCAGCCACCATTGTCACAGCAGTCCTTTCGAGGCCGTGCACCCTTCCACTCCCTCAAACACTGCCAGCAGAATTCAAACGGCCGTCCTGCTACTGCTGTGCACACTTCACAGAGGACATTCAAATCTGACCCATTCTCTCTCGTCACAGCGAATCCACATCCAGGACACTACATGGAGACAGAGGTGGGGCAACATTTTATAAATAGCAAAATGTCTATTAAGTCTAAATTCACAGTATATAATAACATGTTGATGAAACACTTACCAACTTAGTAGTAAGTGTCTGCCTGGCAGCGTTGAATTCCATGGTTTTTTGAAAGTACTCCATTTCTTGAGGGTCCAGAAGAGCCATTTTACAAACCTCTGCAAAAGTCCACTCAGCACTACAACCAGACCCACCACACACAAACCTGCTTTCACCCTTTATTAAATATGGAGAGGTGAGAATTAATAGACTCGCATGTTGGAAACAAAACACTAAACAATTTTAAAAAAAAATTTCAGCACGTTATTAACCCTTTCATGCATGAATTATGAGAACCTCAATCTGGATTTGTTTCTTAATTATTCTATTCACTTTTAGTCATGAAAACAAGATTTTTGAACTTCATCTTTTTTAAAACCTGTTCTTTTTCAAATTGTTTTCTTTACATGTCCACTTAGGTGGACAACATACATTTTTACTTATGAATTGGGTATGGAGTGACACATCAGTCCAATGTAGTGGTTTATGTGCAAGTATGCCATCAACATAAATCCAAGAAAACAGCCTCTGAATTGCTGTCCACTGAAGTGACCACTACGCATGAAAGCGTTAAAACTACAAACACTCAAATATTTCATCATACATCACAACTGTATTGCTGTATTGATGAAACAGAGTTGTGTTGCTATATTTTGTCTGAAAGCTATTTATGTTCTTTACTCTATAGAAATACTGAAATGATCACAGCTGTAACAGTACAGGTCCAATTCAAAGCTACACTGAGGCCTCACAGAGGGCAGATCAGTCAGCCAGCATGCACAGTCACAAAGTTGGAAAAGAAATGTGATGTATTACAGGTTTAATTGCAGAGGCAATTCAACTTAATTGATTTAAACACTACAAGTTACAATAGAGAAGACAGAAATTGAACATTTCTGACAGTTTTATATCCCTGAGAGCACAGCAGGTTTCTGCTTAGAGAAGTTCGTGAATTTACAGAGCAGTGAGCTGCTCTGTGTTGATTTAAGTCAGCGTAGCTTCTTTCTCATCTACATGAAAGCAAACATTACAATCCAATTCACGACAACAAAAAATGATGACATATTGGACCCTGTTTTCATTATTGTTTATTTATTCGAGCTCATAACATTGTCCTGTTACAAATCAACACAATCCTGCATGACACTGTTATTTATTTACTTGTTTGCTTGTTTATTCTAGCAAAGCCAACCTTTAGTGGCCTACCTGATCCAACAATCTGCGACACCAGTTGGTGAGAGAGGTCGGGGTCACAGCGTGACCACAGGACATCTGAGCTCTGAGAGATTTGAAGCCTTCATACAAAACTGAGAACAATCACACAGAAGTAAAAAATCAGTGTTACGTGTGAATAAATGCTGATGAGTTTCATTTAACATTAGTTAGTGTGAATAAGGGTAAAACTGTTTTCTTTCATTTTTATCATTATTTATATTTTGAATTTGAATTTGTTGGGCATCACTTTGAAAAGTGCCCACGTGATACTTACAGTCCAAATCATCTTCTCCATCAACAAATTTAAGTGTTTGGTCACAAAAGTCGTAACACTTCTCCTGTTTTGGTGGCACGCTTGGGGGCGTCACACTGCGAAACAAAAAAAACGAGATCAAAATGAACACTTCTGATTTCACACAGTTTCTTCTTAACATAAAGTTTGTGATCAGCGGTTTTGTGTTTCAGTATCACCAGTGGCGGTCCTAGCCTGTCTGGCGCCCTGGGCGAACACTCCAATTTCCTTAGGGATTAATAAAGTATTCTGATTCTGATTGTTTCAGGATGACCTGCCATTATCCAATGACACATCTGCTTACCTGTATCTTTTGCTCATTTCTCCTCCTCTTCTTTTCTCTTTTTTCTAAACTGAGGACCTGATGGCTTTGAACTTTCCTTGTCCATCTTGGTTTTAACTTTGCACTCCAGTATGAACACCCATCCCCCATCCTGAGAATCATCACAACATAACCTAACAGACCTACACCTTAGTTCACAAATTCACTTTGGTTTATTTCTGGGATTTCACACTACCCAGGATTCAAATCATGAACACATAATGGGCTTGGATTTACAGCATTATGAATGAAATGTGCTCTAATTGGAAGCAGCCGGGGATCCTCCCATTTCGACAGGTTGTGTGTGAGACATTAAATCACCAAAGTATAAAATATACATTTTGAATTGTTATTGATCCCTTTACCCCGAGTCCTAAAGTGTGTATTTATTTTCTTACTCTTCTTATATTTATTGTTTGTTTACTTGCCCTGTTGTAACTGGAGCCTCGTCCTCTTGTCTCTCTCGTCTGGACTGTATGTAGCGGAGATGACAATAAAGTTTACTTTGACTTCAGCAGCAAGCAGGCGCACCGAGGGCTCTCGTGCTCACTTTTCGCGTATAGAATTTCGAAAAAACATCGGTGCAAATTATAAGTCTGTATCATGATGTCTGCTGTTTTTGTGTTTGTTGGTTTGTTTTTATTTTGTTTTATTTTGTGAGATGGTTATTAGACGCTTCTCCAGCCAGCGAGAGAATCTCCCGCCGCCCCGCCCTCTCCTCCCTGTGCCGCAAGCAGCACGCCTATGCCATTTCCAAACTGCGCTGGCATGGCGTCGGGGCAGCATGAGTACGAGCAATTTTATTTATTTATTTATTTTTATTATTATTTTTTGCCGATGCCCGTGATGCCGCCCCCCACGATGCCGCCCCGGGCAACCGCCCGTGTCGCCCGTATCAAAAACCGTGAGTATCACTGTGATGTCAGACTGTGACACTGAACGATCACATCGCGAAGTGTACAACAATAGAATAAGTCAGTGAAATCAGAGCAGCAGATGTAACACACACAACAGTGAGTGAACCACGTGTTACCCGTGCTGCAGAGGCGGGAATACTGGGTCCATCGTCGCTCTGTCCACGGGGAACTCTGGATATAGGCGATAGACATCTGGCACGTTGATGAACGAAGCAAAACTTGAATCTGGGTAAGGTGAAGGCACACGTGCGGTCCGGTTGAACATCTGGCTTGGATATACAGCCATGGACTGAGAGTCGCTTTGGTCTGCGCTGAATGTACGCAGCGATGCTCCTCCCTCTCTCTCTATTCGCCCCGTGTGTGTGTGTTTCAGGGCCGTACCTCTGAATGACTAAAAGAAACTTCGGCTTTTAGATTCTTAGAGATTCTTGAATATGTCACTTTCTGATTACGTCTCCCCACCCCTTTATTTTCACCCTCTTCTTCTCTCTTGTTGCTGATGCTGCTGTGGACGGTGAAGAAGAAGCAGCCCTACATTGTGGGTCCATTTGACACATTTGTCACAGCTATTTTTAGTTTATTTTCTTTTTAGGTGTCAGCTTTTCAGCTCCACCTTTTCGCCACTTGTTTCCACACTAAACTCTGTTCTACAAGGTGCACCAGCGCACAGAGAAGAGGAGGTTGTGTTTGCATAAAGAGATCTTATCGGACAATACACTGTCGATAATGAAAATGAACGAATCAGCACACAGAGCAAATTCCCGGTATGCCGGATTACCACTCCAGCCCTGGGTCCACATTAAATAATACATTAAATTTGTAATTATTATTGTTCAGGTTTAGAATCAAGTCAAAATTTCGAGATTAAACTCGAAATGCTTTTCAAGGAAAATAGTAAAAAAAAAATGTTTCAAGTCAAACCACTGCCCCACGCTTCTATATACTGTACAAAATGCCTGGTGTAGATGGGTTAGTTAACTCAGTTACTAACTCAGTTACTTTTTAGAAGTACTTTTTAAGTATCTTGCCCAACACTGCTCCTGAGGTGGATGGGGCTTTCTCTCCCTTGGCCGATGGTAGGGAGATGACTGTGGAGGGCAACCAGTCTGTAGGAACAGACTAGCAGGGCAGCAAATATGACATTGTGTGTCTAATTCCTGCTGCTTTAACAAGGGCAGTCTTTCTTGCCGGGATGCATTAGAAGTAAATCAGTCCAAAGTTTCCCATAGACCTTGACTGTGCTCCTTCCTCCAGTCAGGGTTGCTTCATTTCCTTGGCTACTGCTGCTGCTGTGTGAATGTGTACAAGTTTCTCAACATGTCTGCAGCCTAGTCTCAGGTCATAGTCCTGAAGATATGCAGATGAGTGTATTTGACCTAACTGCTTCAGGCTGGAAGGAAAATGGTTGCATGTTCAAAGGTTTCTCTCATTCTAGGAAATTATACCACATCTTGTTTGAATCACCAATATTGAATACTACTTGCAGGTAGCGGTATATGTAAGTGGATCTCTGAAAGGATGACTTCCTGGCCTATCGGTTAGAATACACTGCAGTGTGTCAAAATACAGTGTGAGAATTTATTCATGATCCAGCATTTGCTCTAGCACAATATCAGCAGTAGGAATGACTGTGAGAGAAGCAATTCGGCAGACTCCCCACACAAGATTTCTCTGATACAGTCTACTTCAGCATGCATCCTCACTACTAATCTTCCAGTGGATGCCTGAAGCATGCTCAGAAGATCGGTCTTTCCAACATTCTTCTTTGTGAAATTATTTTAGAGGTTAGGTTATATGTGCGATAGGACACATTATTTAAGGTTTAGTATTCTTGAACTGGTTGAAATTGACCTTTGGTAATAGAAACTAGGTTTCTAAAATTAGCTCCCCAGGTATGCTGCTGTTTTGGAAATGATGCCATGGGTAGTCAGAGCCACTCACTTGTCACATGGCTGCATCAGGATGCTCATTAGATGTCACTTGAATGCACCTTGATCCTAACTCTGATTGTAAAAGCTGCCAGTCAGGAAAGGATGTCAGAAAAAAAAAGAATCTTTTCAAAAAAGTAGGTCAAATATTTACTTATATTGTTAAAATCTATAGATTTAGTTTGTTTTTCATTGTTTTTGGTGTCAGCTTCAGTTTGTTTTGTGCTGAAGTATGTGCTCAGGCAGGCTGTGGTAAAGAGCCATAGAAAACTCAAATTGTATCCCACTGCTTCCACCAGTATAATACCAGCACCTTTGTTAAACTGGTCTGCAATATGATACCAAAAATAAGTATTATTCAAACAGTGAAATGCTGAAGCACTTGAAATTTATTTATTTATTATTATTTATTTAGAATTTCCAAAACATCCTTGTTAAAATTTTACTCTCTCCAATAACCAGTCTGCAGTTTACAGGGGTTCCCCTTCCTCGAAGAACCTAAGCACTACAAGTGATTACACCACAGCACACTGAAAAAACACACTACACAGACATGAAAGATCAACCGTGGAAATCACAGCAAATAAAGAGGCCACATCCTGGCCAATAACATTAATTGAGAGAAGGCCCCTAAAAACTTAACGGTTAATGAGCCTGTATTGCCAGATCAATGTCACTGAAACAAAACAGAATAGGCAATTAGACACTAAACAAGATGGATAACTTAACTCACCTGATCTTCGACAAGGCCCCACCCCCGGGTCTGGATACTGGCACCCGTACAGCAACACGGGAAACGCTCACCTACCTGGCTCTCTTCACTGTCGATAATGCTAAAGGTTGTAAAATTTATTTAAAATCCTCTGAGTTTGATCAAAGTTTTGAACAGCTGTAAAACAGGATGTTTCAGTTTAAGAGTTGTTTTCAATAAATTGCATTCTCAAAAAAACATTTTGTCTCACTCCCATTTCTTTCTGTTGCATGTTGAAGCTCTTCTTGGAACGATAGAACAAAATTAGATTTTTTTCCATCTTCAAGTGGTCTTAAACTTTTGATCAGGGCTGTTTAAATTTATAGTTCACGAAGTATGTAAAAAAATACTTTTGCTACTTCCACAAGGTGGGGCTGTGCACCAAATGATACGTGAACTGCTTTAAAAAAAAAACAGATACCCTCACCCGACATTTTATTAGCTACACCTTGCTAATAAGGATTGAACCCTCTTTTGTCTGCAGAACTTCAGACGTCATTTGAGTGCAGTGAACTCATCGTTCAGCATTTGATGAAAGAACACTTTGCACTTGTTGTTCTTCAGGGTGAAAATACTGAGGCTCTTTTACAGCCAGTAAAGTTGAACGCTGAGAAAGCGATGAACTCCTAGAACCAAATAATGACCCAAAGCAGCCATTAGACTTCAATATAAACTACACCAAATGAAAACATTTGCTAAAGCTCACAGTACTTTTCAATATCAGTGAAAACCTGTGGGAAGATCTTAAAAATACTGTTATTCCTTTAACGCAGGGGTGGGCAACTCCAGGCCTCAAGGCCCAGTGTCCTGCAGATTTCAGATATCACCCTGGGTCAGCACACCTGAATCAAAAGATAAGTTCATTGCCAGGCCTCTGGAGGAATTCAAGACATGTTGAGGAGGTACTCGCTGGTCTCTCTGTCAGCAGATTCTCTGTCCCTCTCCTTTCCCCCTCCTTCCCCTGTCCTTTCAGTTTTCCCAGGATTGATTCCAATTGTTTCGTTTGGATTTCATCTGTTATACATTCACCTGTCTGAATGAACAGTAAACACCGAACCTGCCCTCTGCACACACCAGGGAATGCCCCTAAGATTTTTTTTATTCACTCTTTATTACTTTCGATTTCTCTCCATCACTTATTAGAAGTCATGTGACTTCAGATTTGCAGTCGTGATGATTTTAAACACTTTTGTTTTACTTAATCTGTGTTAGCAATACTGAGAGTTGAGGTTTGTTTATTTACTTTATAATGTATGGGTTATATTGCACCACGGAGTCAAAGTTGAGGAAAGTAACTGATCTTTGGATCAGTGACTCTGTGTTGGATTATCTTACTTGGAGAGTTTGTGGGCTTCATGTGTTGCTTTTGCCATTGTGGTGTTCTGAATGTGCATCAAACTGGATGTCAAAATGTTTTACTTTTTATATGGTTTTACAAAAGGTTTGATTAATTCACTCATAGCCGTCATTTGGTACAACAAATCGGTGAAGCAGCAAAAAGAACAAAACAAACATTGTTGTGGTTGCATACGAGACTGTTGAGGGTGTGTTAGGTAGTTTCCAGTTTTCATCTGAACGACAATATTTAAATTTAATAAGGAGAGTTATTTCTACAATGAATTACCAGGCATTGTGATCATTACTGCTATAGGGCAACTTCAAGCTGGTGCTGTGCAAAACCAAACTGCAGCAGTATTTGGTGTAAGCACTAGTACCATCTCCAAACTGAAGGCCAAGTATAACAGGGAATGTCAGAGACCAACCTCCAAGTGGGCACATTTCCTCTCCCTGTCAGCATTTACCATCTTTAGGCAGTCTGCTACAGATTCGCAGTCAAGGTTTTCAAGAGGCTCTGGCAGATGGCTCACTACACATTCAGTCACTGCCCTGCACTGTTTGTATTGTTATCAGCAAGATGCACTGGAACCAGAACATGCTGGAACGTTATGTTCTGCAATGAATCCAGATTCTGCCTATAGCAGCTGGATCATAGGGTCAAAGTGTGGAGTTTGGCATTGGCTCAGGAGATCTGATGCTGAACTCTGCTGCTCAACCCACAAATCTATTTTCCTTTCTTTCCAAGAAGCATTGTTACAAACATATATTAAACGTGCTGTTTGCTTGCATGTTTAACTTCAGGGATGTTTTTTATTTTAAATTAAAATAGTTATTTAAATGAACTGCATGTCTTATATATTTAATTTTGATTAAACATGTTGAAATTAATTTTGTTTTTTCATACTCCGATGGATGCATCGGAGAGCAACTTAGGGTTAACATCTTGCCCAAGGATATTTGGCATGCAGCCAGGTATCAAACCAACAACCTTCTGATCAAGGGATGACTTGCTCTACCTTCTGAGCTACATCCACCCCAATAATAAATATTTATTTGCATAAATTGTAATAAATGAGGAAGATACTTAAAAATGGTATTAAGGGTCTCCCTGGCAGCATTGAACATCATGGTTTTTTGAAAGTACTCCATTTCTTCAGGGGTCAGAGGAGCCATTTTACCAAACTCTGCAAAAGGCCACTCAATGTTACAACCAGACCTGCCACATACAAATCTGCTTTGCACACCCCTGTGAAACAATACCCCAGACCA